TCCAGCGTGGAAAGTCATCTTCTGGGGATAAGAAATAATTTCCCCTGTTTGCTTGGAAACATCCCTACTGCTAGCTGACTTTAATATATGTCTCCACATGTCTTCTCTTGTGGGGGTTGGGGGTGGGGGGGTGCGGCTGTTGTTGCATTTGGGGAGTCAAGTGAAAGCACATGTGGGAACCCGGAGTAGGTGTGAACAGCAAAGACCTCCTGACTGTTCATCCCATTCCGCCACACCACCAACACGCCGCTGAGGAGCACACTCTCTTAAAAATAACTGTCCCAACAGCTTATGTCGAGAAAAAAACTATTGCGTAGGCCTTTAAATAGGCCCTGGATTCTGTTTTTACGTGCTGTGTTAAAATGCTTACATCACATAAATCAGGTCAGTGATCTTGCAAAACATGAATGCTGAGAAGGAGTTTCTTCTGCCGAGCTCAGTACTGTGGGACCTGAAGGCCAAAGTAGGTGTCATTTCTGAGAATACCAATCAAAATGATGACAAAAACACAAAACTTGTTTTTTGTTAATCTGAAAGTTGCATTCGTTGTTCGGTACATTTCTCTAGGCGCTGCGCGGCTTTTTGGCCCAGACAGGAGAGGAGCTGATGCCAGTAATGAATGGTGGAGCGTTAGTCGGTTAACTAACTTACCTCTGAATAATGTGTTTCTTACGGGGCCACTCGGGCCACGGTTGATGGATGGCCTTACAGAAGCCAGGTCAATTAGCCAGGCTGGATTTGCCTTCATGTAAGCTGCAGACAGCACTGGGAGAGCTCCCACCTCTGTCACGCGGCCTGGCTGTAATTAATCACCAGCGCGAGGCCTTCTCACCTCACGCAGCCGCGCGCACAAACAACCAATACGTACATTTCACCCAAATTACATCTCCCCTCCTCTAATCTGGTTAATTGTCAATATTGTACCCATACCAGGGGAAAGATTCTGACATTAAGTGCTTCCTTTCCAAACAGTAAGATATACCCTTCTTTACTACACTCAGCTAATTTACAAAGAGAAACATATGATGTCACAAATGGGATATTTGAATTACTTGTTATTGTAAATTGATCAATATACTTTTTTTCAGGCAATAATATGGAGTCTTCAGAGTAAAACCAACCAATAGAACCCAAAGGTTAATGTGAAAAAAATAGATTGGGACTGCACATGCCTACGTTTTTGGGAAAGCTTAATCAAGACACCACAAAAAAGATGCTCATGGATTGTTAAATCGAATGTTTTTGAAGAAACTAAGTTGAGAGTAATACAAGCTATCCCATAAAGTTTGTATCTGTAAAAAACAATCTTTAGCATTTGATCTTAAAGCAATCAGATGAGAAGAAAGAAAAGTAATATATTCACACTTGTCTGGCTTGACTTTTTTTTTTTAACCAAAGCAGAACCCATATGATGATTCGTTTAATGTTATTTTTCCAAAAGTGTTGTTCGAGTTACATCTGTCAGCCCATGGAGCTGTTTATGTGCAGATTTGTCACCCTCGCACAAACACATGGCACAGATTGTGAGGCAGGTTACAGAGACGTCACTCTGTGTTCGCAGAACTCACCCCTGTGGTCTGGACAAAAGCAGCAGGCTGACAGATGAGGATTGTGTCTGGGGGCTGGGGATCTATGTGTTGCTGCTGTGCTGTGTGTGTTGCTCCATCTTTGTGTGTATGAGGTGCTTGTGCATATGTGCACGTATATATGTCTGAGTGCACCTATTTGTGAATGCATTTGTGAACACACATGTGTGTATATTTGTGTGTGTGTTCTTGTGGGGGGGTGGGGGGGTGGAGGGGGTCTCGTGGGGCAGCTCTGTGTCTGTCCCATCTGCCACCCCACTCTGCTGACACCCAAGGGAATGACAGAGAAGGGGTGGGGGATTAATTTTGGAAGAAAGAATCGTGGTCCATCGCTCTAATGGGCAACAATGCAGGTTTTACTGATGGGCCAAAGGCAAAGGACACTGGCTGGGCGTTTGGGAGCCAATCTACCAATCTATTTTACAAAACATTTGGCCACCCCTTGTCAAGCTCCGCTACAGCCAACCTAATAAGGCACTCACACCCCTGAAATTATGCCTGAAATGAGAAAAGGGGAAACTGTATTTTACACACGTGCAGACCTCGTCACACACTCCCGGGGCTAATGTCAGCCTAATGCATGGCCATGCTGTGGCCAGAGGGCTAATTGGGTATATAAACACAAACACATCCCTTGAGAGGGAAGAAGGGAAGGGAATATTTTGTCCTCCCTCTATTGAGAGAAACATAATATTCAAACCCAAACAAGAGACACATCAAATTTTGGAAGTATCGATAATGAGAGATGATATGGTTGTAGTCTCACATATACCCGGCAGATGAACGCTGTGATGTGGATGTGCAAAGACTCGGTGGCAGGTGGCATCTCATGCTGTCTTTCTCCAAACTGTGATCAGAAAACGGTAAACGGTGCTGCTGCACTCACAGCAACAGCAGCAACAAAACAGTCATGTGGAAGCGGAGCATATGGCTCCTGCACCGCTGGGCAGAAGGAGCACTCAGCAACATGAATGCTGAGGTGCTGGCAACAAAGCTGACTTTAACTTGTCAAATTAACAGCATATCAAAGAAGAGAGGGGGATTTGAGGAGGAGAGAACCGAGCAGGTGCCAAATGCGACTCAATTGTGACACAGCAAGAAACAGTCACTTGCTGTCAGGGTCAAATCAGAGACAGTGTTGGATGTTTGAAGTCCAGATCTTTCACCGTCACCGCTAAAATAGTTTGCCGATTTGTGTATCAAACACACACACATGCAGGCGTACATCAACTGGGTGCTACCCTACCCCCTCGCTACTTTGAGGGCTATGTTAATGAAACAGTTGCTGTTTCCTGGCATAACATTAATTACCCGATCAAAATAGAGTGGGTAATTAACTGCCCTTCTTTAGCAGTGCTAATTATATTAACAGAGAAGGGCCATTGCAAGATGACAGCACAGAAAAAAGGAGGGATGAAGCTGTACCAAACAAAGACTAAAAAACAAGGCAGTGGTGAGATACGTGCCTCTGTGAGTGTGTGTGAGTGTATCAGTTTTAATAGAGAGAAAGAAACAGAGAGGAAGAGGCCGGATTGCAGGGAGACTCATGTGGTTCTCACTTGGGCCCCCAGAGGTTTGGTCCTCAGAGAGAGGCAGGCTTATTGGAGAGTAGAGAGATGGGAGGGGGGTGTTGTTTATCTTGACATGCTCTACTCAGTCTTTAACGCTCGCATCACAATTAAGATGCTGCGGCTCATCAGCTATGTATACAAAACAGTGTAACAAGCTGCACGAGCACACAGGTGATGGGCACAGTCAAAAATAGATTCAGCCCAACCTTGGGATGTCGGAGCTTTGCAGAAAAATCTTAATGTTAAAGATGTAAAGAGAGCTCCGACTGACACAGTACACATGAAACGGTGTGAAATACAGTTTTTGCACACAATTCACAATTAACACTAAAAACTGAATCGACTTTTTTTCTTTTTTTTTGTTTAATTGTTTTATTTGGGGCACAAAATATAATTACACCTTAAAATTTACAAATCACATTTGCACCATTTTTTGTATTGTTTCAAAGAAAGATGGCTTAAAAAGACATTAATAAATTGCTAATAATTTTTTAAATAAATAAGATTAACCAAACTCTAGAAACAAATTAGCAAATGTCATCTACTCTTTGTGTTCTTTGTTTTCACGTCCTGAGAAAGCAGTTTGTGATCATGACAACGAAAATCCATGATAGCAGTAACAATAGGATGAGGATGAAAACCCAAAGCCTGTCTTTTGAGCTGTGCTTTTAGTTTCTGTACTGCATAGAGGCTAGAGTCCTGTACTCGATTTGACGCATTGATAATGAAACTGCAAAATCTATGACTGGTTATATATAAGTCTAAGATTGCAAAGTGAGATGAAAAAATATCAGGGAAATGGTGTAACAAAGCATGCATTTGTAGTGAAATTAAACAAATATGGCTAACTATCGTTCTCCTTACACAAGGACATAACCTTCTTTAACTGTTGGGATAACATATAAATAAAAATATGATGGTTTATTTAAAAAGAAAAGAATTTATCTGCTCCACTGAAAAATCCATTCCCAACAATTGTTTATCAAACTAACTGGCAATTGTTGAGATAACTTCATTTCAGTAACAGTTGGAAAAAGGACCACTTTATAAAAACACAATTATATTATTCACTAAACTAACTATAATAAGTTAAATTGCTTGTTCTTAAATAAATCAATATATGAATTCCTTTAGTAATAACCCATGAGACAAAGATTTCTCCCTTGAAAAACAAGGGAGAAATCTGTTAGGATCAGAACAAAAAATAAAGGGTCTATTTTTCTGGAATGTAAATTGTCTTCAAAAAGTCTACTACAAAACAAAATCTCTTGCTAGCTCACAGACAGTGTACACACATGCCATTTAAGGTGTCCATACAATGACAAAACAGCACCCTACTTATAAGAGCTGCTACATTTTATCGGAGTGGTCTGGCGGTCATCAGCGCTCGGTGCTCGCACAACTCTTTCAGTGAGTCTGTGGAGGTGCCTCAAAAAACCAAATACTGCATGTGATGGTGGACCAGAAGTCGGGATAGATCCTTTTGGTGCTTGAGGTGAAAATCGGAAGAAGCTCTCCTCCCTTTTCCTTTCTGGTGCTTCATTACACATGCACACACAGTACTATATGGTCCAGTCTGCATGCTGAGGAGGAGTCTTTCTGCAAATGGGGGTGGAGTGTTTCCTCTGCATTTGAAGAAGACGACTGGTCTTTGGACAATTTTCACACCCCGTCCTGCTCATCCAACTGGATGAAAAAAGGGACTAAGACATAGCCCGTGGGATCAGGGAGGGAAGTTATACATAGTCACGAGGGATCTGTTTTCCGTTCTCCCTGCCCCCTCAGTGCCAAAAGAGGGGCTAAGTGAAGCAGTGGTCTGGGGTAGGTTTGGGTGGGTGCTTTGCTACATCGGGGGAACAACCAGGCCCGTCATCGCTGGAGAGAAAAACAAATACAAAATCTATGATTTTGATCGGTCAGGTCTTTCACTATTGTACATCCAGCACGAGTTTTCTGTCTTGCTCAGTCATTGCTTTGAGTTTGTTAGTGTGAGGGGTTAGACTGCATTCGTGAGTTCAGACAGCGGGGTCAGATAGTGAGTTGGATGACTACCTCTGAAGCTGTTCCCCCCTGAGGCAGGGCAGGCAGGGGAGGGAGAGCCTTGGGGTCTGAGGACAGGGGCAAATGCACTCTTCTGTTTAGCAGCAGAAGGGAATGAGGAGAAAGGCAAGAGAGATGAAGAGGAGCTTGAGCTTCCTGGTATGGTTGGGCTGGAGGGCATTACTGTGAAAAAGAGAGAGGGAAAGCCAGTGTCAAGACTGAAAATAAGATGATCAGCTGACTTTAACTGTGTTGTGACATTCATCCAGAGAGCGTGTAGAGCCTTACTGTAGGGAGAGCTTGTGGGGGAGGCACTGCTGAAGCCAGGAGAACCTGGAACTCCCAGACTCGTCATGGGAACTGTTCCATAGCCTCCAGTCATCCCGCCGCCGCCATAGCCAGACTGCTGAGGTGTGGAGGCGGAGGGGTAACCCCTCGGAGACAAACTGCTGGAGTTACGAATGTAACCTGGTGGTAAAATGAAAAGGTCTGGTCAGCTCTGTGTGTATTGGTGGCAAAAACAGAAAAGAACAAAAACCGACGTTTCAATCATTCTCACCTTGGCTGCTTTGCTCTCCGATGCTGACACCTAATTGAGAAGGATAGGATCCCAGGCCCATGACGCTGCCGTGTGCCGGTGAGCTGGGCAACCCCTGCAGCTGACTGTGGGGACGGGGAACGCTGTAGAGGGCCTCGGCTATGTCAGCCGCACGCTTTAGCAGCATGTCCTGAATGAAAAACACACGACACGGCCCACAATGATTCATCCTCAAATATACAGACACAGAGCAGTTTTTATAGGCTGACAACCTGTTACCACTGTTATTCCTGCCAGCGAAAAGTGCACTAATTGATCTCAAAAACTGAAAATGCGTAAGCTATTCCCAATTAGCCCATTACGTACAAGTTACATATACAGTTCTGCTGACAGTTTTCTGACTTATGCTGGTGCATTCATGTGTTCTCACTTCATCTGTGGACTAAGAATCAGCTGCCAAACCAGCATGTTGGTTGCCACAAACTAAAAGTGCAGTGCACTGTTTGTACATGGTTTTATCTAATGAGCTTTGTCTAAGACAACACATCTTCATGATGACATATGCTCTGGTATGATCAAATTTTGTCACTAAACAAAAATGTAAAGAGAGTGGTACAACTATTTGATACAAAACATGTGGTTTAGATAGTAAATTGTATAGTTCTTTGGTTAAGGGGAAAATTAAAACTCTTGCTGAAGACTTTCAGATGTCATCACGATCCATCATCCTCAGTGATATGTAAATAATTCTGAAGTCTTTGGAGGAGACATTGTTCTGTTTACCTGGTTACTGTGTGGGTTTCCATACAGGGCCTCCACAAGATCTGCTGCTCTTTTCAGGAGGATCTCCTATAAAGATGTAATTGATTTAATAACCATGGAGAAAACGGTCAAAGAAACATGAAGGCCTTTGTTTAGGTTTCATACCTTTGCTAGTTTTTCCGGGTCACCGGGATGTCGAGGAATTACCTTCTGAAGACGCTGAAATCCATAGTCTATAGTTGGTTCGTTTAGGGCTGGAAAAAATGTTAAAGTAGGTCACATTTCTGTCACAATTCATGGAAACTAAATATGGCACTTTGTCTTCTAGGCTTCAAAATATCTCATATTTACACTCAAAAAGCATCCCCATTCTCCATTGCATAAACTATGCCCTGAATCTATATTATCAGGATGGAGATCTAAACCATCTTATGTCTCATCTGGTGTAAAGCTTTCAGATTCGGAGAAGATTTATATATCACAGTCTAAGTTCAGAGTATAAATATTCAATCACTTCATCACTACCTCCACACGAATTAAAGTTTATTATAAGTATTACAAAAAACAAAGGAAATGAAAACTTTTTGCTTTTTTCTGTTAAGCTAAGAGGCAGTCCAGAGTCTGGTCTACTATGCATGTTTGTAAGTGCTCTCAAAAACACATTTCAGGTGCTCTCTCATATGGTAATAACCTGCGTCAAGGGGTTATTTAGTACCACTGATCTCAAGAGAGGCAAATATGTGTGTCCAAAAACAGGCTGTTCTGAAAGGAGGGACAAATTTGAAAGAGGGGCTGTTGTACTGTCTTACTGACACCTTGATCAAAATTAAATAGAGACAGTAGACCAGCTTCTTCTTTATCTTTTGATTTTAACACCTATTTAAAAGACCAATTCAGACATGAAATTAGTCACTTGATTTTAATTAACCTCTCCTGATAGATGTTTCTCTTTTAAGGTAAGTAGTACTGAAAGACCTTTAGTGCACATTATTACAGTAAGAGAGCACACACAGTAAACAGCCTAAGAGCTCAGAACACACACAGAAATTATTCCATTATCATAATTACATTTTCCACTTGTTGTCTTAAGTCATGGGTTGACCCAGGTTGTTAAATATGCATAAGAGTTAGGGTTATGTGATAACTGAGGGTCTGTTAATAATAAGTTAATTACTATATCGACTCAATAAACTGGGTTTCAACGTCAATTATTTTTGTTTGTCCTGAACAGCCCAATGAATGTCATGTATTATATACAAACAGCCTCCAACAATACATTATTTTTAGTTTCATATTTTTCATTGTGGTAATAATTTTCAGTATCAAAATATGAGTTGTCAAACACAGCTTTAAAAGGTTTTTGCACAGTATGTCCCCCTTTCACACCTGTGTAGATGAAGCGTCCTGGTGCTCCTTTGCAGAACTGTTTCGATTTATAGGAAAGTGTAACCTCCACAACCCCAGGGATGTGTCGAGGAGGCGTCTGAACACGGATTGCGTGCGGTGTGATCAGCTGAGTTTAAAGCACAGAGATAGTGTCACAAACCATCCTTCCCTAAATATTTAGGTCAGCACAATACTGTGGAAAGATTTATTTGTTGAAATTGGCCATAAATCATCCAAATAATGGAGACGAGCCATATGTTGGGTTTCGTTTCCGAACATGTCCCATGATTAGTGAGATGTTCTGAAGACTAATCTTACCTCACTCCACACCAGCATGCTTCCAAACACCACCTGCAGCCCATCGAAAAAGTTCTCCCCAATGACTATGACCATAGCCCCGCCGGTGGTCCAGCCCTCACTTGGACTGATGGCTTTAATACATGGGGTAGCTAAAGGAGACAGCAAGAAGTCATATGACCTTAGGGTCATGTAATCATATACAGCACTAAACATACTAGAAATAAGGTTCACAATAAAGATACAGACAAAAAAATTATTTACTTTATCTAAAAGTTGTCAAAAACCACAGTACTGTGTGATCATATTTACTTTACAAGCATTCTTTTCTAAGTAGGAAATAAATACATAAAAAGTCAAAAGCATAAAGCATACAGGAAAAGCAAAAAACACATAAGCACAGAACCTGAGTATCTTGCTGCTGTGCACAGGCAAATGTGACGCGTGTGTTGTTGTTTTAGAGATCTGACTGACTTTAAATCACTCTAACTTTGTGCTTCGAACTAGATTAAATTGATGGACAAGTATTTAATTAACTCAGTAATTAGTTAAAGACCTCAGCAACAGCAATATTTCACAGTGATTATGAACGGACATTAACAAACTTCGTTCTGATCATCTATTTTCCTGTAAGTGATGGAGAACACATCCTCACTGTTTGTCATATTGTAAAATCAATGTCTTACCATATTCCATAGAATTCTCCACGGACTCGCCTGGTTCCAGTCTCCGAGCCCTTCTACCATGTTTGGAGTTGTTATGGACAAACATGTTGTCAGACACAGCGAGGACGTGGCCGTCTACACTCACCGTGCTGGACAAGACCACCTGAGTGAAAGAACACAAGCCAAGAGGAAGATACATGAGCACACATGAGGCACTTGGACAGCACGCCACAACTCAAAATCTCAGGTTGCAACAGTAGAGTCCCTGAGCAACCATTTGTCTCATGGTACAGGTAATAGTCAAATTTTTCAATAGGTAATGTGGCATCTCTGGGATTTCCATAATACGTCTGCATTCTGAGGATGACACCACACACATTCCCTTTCCACTCCTCCATCAGGCCCCCATATGGCCTCTTACCTAACTTTTTTATTCATCCCGCATGAAGCAGGCTGATTGTTATCTTCTCCTGATCCCTCAATGACACCAAACATATGGACCAAATCTCCCATTTTAGTTGGCTGTTAAAATATTAGATGATATATAGTAGCCCTAATGCGATTTTCTGCCTGAAGCATGTGTGTGTCTGTAACATCTGCTTATTGTGTACAGCTTGCATGCATTTAACAATAAGATTCATAAAGTAATTTCTGCTCAGGTATTTATTAACATTTATAAAAGTGAGTTTGAGAGTCGGGCTGAAAACTCTGAGTTGAAGAGAATTGGTCAGTAAGAAGTACTCTTAAATACCCTGTAACATTATATATTCCATGATAAATCTATTTAATTTCAATAACATTGCCCTTCAAACTTAAGTTGTGGCTGAGACTTTGCAAGAGAAGGCACAAAGAAAGAATGGAAAAGGTATGTGTACTATGGGTGATGGTGAGGAAAGGAACCCTAAAGGAAAATAACTGTAAATTATCGATCATGCTTACTACAGTCCAGCACCGATCACCTTTTAACCCAAAGATGAGAGCCATGGAGTGCCTGTGTGCTCGTAACTTCTCAGCATGTGTCACATCACAGGAGTTAAAGCAAACATGGTGGGAGACGGGGAAGCACGAAGAAGGAGAAGGGACAGAGGGTTTGCTGGGAGAAGGAGAATGCCAGACAGAGGCCGCTGGTGCTGAGAGACGGCAAAGGAAGTGAGGCGGGAGTGTCCCCAGTGACCACTTCCTGGGTCACGGATCATGACCTCCTCCATCTGGAACCAATCACTCAATTCTTGACAACTTCCTGAAACACCTCAACTTATTTCCTGCACCCCTGCACCCCCATGTCTCCCACATATCAAGCTACTTTCGTTTGTCTTTCCATCTCTCTGACTCCTTATTGATTTTTAAGTTTCACCTTTAACTCCCTCCTTTGTGTCTCCTTTTGGAAAACCTTTCCAGAGTTTGGCCATGTGAAAGTGGTATAAATGCCACAGGAAAACAGACTGGAGGCAAAATTACACATATTTATAACATAAAAAAGAAAGGAGGGTTGTGTTTTCATCATAATTTCTTATTGTGCTTTTTCTGCTCATGCACAAGCACACACTCAGATATATCCAGTTGTACCTGAAATCTTCTCATATCCCTCGGGTTTCCTGCTGTCTTCAGACAATTCTGGTTGCATTTCAGGAAAAACTTCAAGAAAAACCTGGAAAGGTAAACAAAAGGGTAGATATTTGTCCACTAGCAACAAAGAAAAATACATGAAAGAAAAATGTAAGTGGTTAGATGCTACTCTGCAACACACTAGCAGTCAAAACAGACATTAATTATTTTCCACTGACTTTTCCTGTGTTTGGGCCAGTGTGTATATGTGTGTGTGTGTGTAAGAGAGAGAGCATCTGATTACAGTACAGACATCCCATCTGTTTAGTTTAGTATTAAAGTCAATGTTATTACACTTTAAATCAAGTAATGAGATTTTGAAGTACAGTCCAGTAGAAATCGCTGCTGTGTTTCAAAATGAAGCAGAGACAGTGATGTTTGTGAGCCGACTCAGGGGACTGTGATGTTCCACGATGCCATATTTGAACCCCCCTAAGGGAATGGAGGGGGAAATAAAGCAGAGACAACCACAAAAGTGAAATGAGGAGGTGGACGGATGGAGGTAGAGATGGAGGCATGTGCAGGCGTTCGTTTGGACATGAATTTTCTTTTCAAGTGCGCGTGTCTCTTTGCGTATGTAAGTCTATGTCGGAGTGTGACAGACACTGATGAAACAGAAGGATATGGGGTGGCTGATGGCTCCTGCTGCACCATAGAAAACCTGAGAGAAAGGTGGAATAAATAACAGAGATGGAGCCTAAGGAGGGAGAGAGAGAGACTCCAAATCCCAGGTGTACACAGTACAGCAACGCAGCCAGCTGCCATGGCAACGCAGCTCTGCCGCAATCCCAAAGTCCCCATGCTGAGAGGCAAAGACAGGAATGGGAAAGAGAAGACAGCAACAAGAGCACATTCCATCACTGAAATACAGTGAGGAAGAGGAGGAGAGCGAATCAGCAATTTGTGAGGCAAAACAGCATGTATGGACGGCAGGTTACGAAGAAGAAGACTGCCACTGAAAAGTCATGACCGTCAGAAAGAAAGCAAACCAAGCGTTGGTTTTTAACATTTTTAAAAAGCCCAGAAATAATACGGCAAATATTAATTCTCACACCAGGTGTCTCATGGACAAACATCCCAGTCCAGTTTTGCCAATGAAAACTTCATCCATTTCTAGATTCACTTGTGCGTCGTTCATCATTACTTTGTGTGCTGAGTTTGGAGTGAGTTGCTTTTAGAAAGTAACTGGTTACAGAAGATGACTGAAACCACAAAATATATGAATTACTTTCTCTTGGAACTGCTAACTTTTGATTCAATTCTAAATGAATGTTGTTGGTTATTAATGATTTTTTTTTTTATGTAGACTACATTTTCACAGCTGAAGCGGCTTTATGCCCCACAGTGATATTACAGCCTGCTTCAAAGGGAAATCGGAAAAGGATGTGGTGGATTCAATGTTTCAGCACATACTGGTCTTTTGAATTCAATGGCTTTGAACTCAATATTTGTTGCTTTGCAGACCAAAAGAAACCCTCCTGCTAAATGAAGAGATGTAAAGCTACTGAGAGAATCTGAGGTTGGAAAGAAATTTAGATATATAATCCCCAAAAATGTTTTTTTGTAATGTGATTGTACTTTACTTTACCAACATTTTATTTAAAGTAATGGTTTAGTAAAACTGTTTTTATAACTGATAAGTTATCAAACTATTGTTACCACATACTTTTAGAATTAGGCTAGGCTATTTCTATTATTTCTAGTGACGATGACAGTTTCACATACACTGATTTCAAACGAACCTATAGACTGTTTCAGATTAAACCACTCTTGCATTTCTACTTTAGTATATATTTAGTATACTGTATATGCGTATAGTAAAAGGCTTGCAGTTTTCCTAAAATATTTTTCCTAAATATTTTATTTTTGTCACAAAAAAATAACCAAAAGGTAAAAATATATTTTACACAGTAAAACTCATGCAGTTCAGCAAAGTCTGCTTCAAGTGACAAAAAAGTACAAAAGTAACTCTTCTACCAAAAGGGAATAAAATAAATGTCAGGGCTACTAGATTTTTACTGATTTATCTCAAGACTCCTGGAATTTTTGCAGCACATCCCGTTTGAGTGGTGCGGACGGCTGCTGCAGTCCAGCCTTTAGTACCGGGCGGCAGGACTGCAAAAGTCAGGGTGGGCCTCTCAAGCAATGTGTCTCAGATGATGAGGGCTAAGCCCCAGCAGCTTTAGTGCGGGAAAAGCTAACGACAGTGGACACAGTTAGCACAGCAGATTCCAATGATAAACTCCTTGCCTGATCAAAATGTCTGCTGGTGTCCTGAATAAAAGGCTGGAGTGTCGGTTCATAATTGGTTGCATGGAAGTGACACAGCTGGCTTTTGGGCATATTAGCTCTCCTGATATCAGAGTCTGAAAATGAACTAAACGGCACTTTGTTTCTGCTATATCCCTGCTCCTACTAATCCCCTTTCAATCTCCCAGATTTATCGCAACACCCTGATTATAAAATATATAACGAAGCTTTCCCTGCCGCTGTTGCAGCTTTAGCACGCTGCCAAAACACAAAGCAGTGTCACTGTAAAATATCATCACAAATATTATCAAAACATAAGTCGGGAAGTTTTGTAAAATGTAATCAAAACATATTTCTATGAATAAGTTCATTTTCCTTATTCAGACTTTTGCCTTAGATGTGAGGATGCTTTATTTTTACAGCTTTTCATGGGCAAAAATCTTGCCACCGTGATGACAGCATATTTCCCTTCAGAATTCGCATGAGCTGCATCACTCATACTTTTACACACATGAGCATCAATGTAGCTGAATTTCATCACTGTTTTTTTCACTTTTCACATGATGCTATTTCATGTGTTGAGCATGCAGAACTGGGCGTCTGTTTTTTGGAAAAGCAGAAGAAACGTGGACACATCTGACCACCAAACACATGTTCACCGTTTTGCTGTCCATCTGAGATGAGCTTGTGCCCAGAGAACTTTAAGGTGTTCATGCAGAGTTGATATATGGCTTTTTTTCAAGGTACTGTACAACACATGTTTATTAAGGTGGCATGAGAGTTTCACATGCATGAGACTTGAAATACCACATGCATCCATGATTTTCTGCATTGAAAAGGCATTGAATGATTTAACTTTATTTGACTAACCTTTCTGATTTGTTTTGAACTTTTCAAAACAGTTCTGACTAAGTAGTTAGTTCTTTAAATTTTCTACAAACACTAAACACTGAAAATTTCTACTTGTGCTTGTGCTTCAGGAAAGTTTCAGAGAATGGTTCCCATCTTTATAACTGTTCATACAAAACAAACAAAAACACAGAAGAGAAAGAAATGCTGCAGAGGGAAGTTACATTTTTGCCTGCATGGTAAGCTCCAATCCCACCCACTCTGTTCTCTGGGAGAGAAACTTCATATTGGCCGCAAAGTTGAATTCTCCCACTGAATTCTAGTCTTTTCTTTGTTTCTCAACTTTTATTCACCATTCTTCCACCACTCTCTCCAGCTTCCTCCCTTGTGAGCAGAACCTGGCCTGCAACAAGATCTCAAATACAACATCAGGCCCAATATTTCTTGATGCGAGCTATT